GCTGACGAAGATGGCTCTCATCGTTTCAAGAAATGCTTATAAAATCAGAATTCCTGGCTTAAGTTAAGCTTCCATGTCTTTGACCAATCTTGTGTAACTTAATTCGTTCTAAATCAGTAGAAGGAAACAGAAACCAGCAGTCAAACACTATAAGCTCTAAAGCACACAAGAAGCATTCACCTGATTATTTTATGCCATGATTCAACATTCCAAATGCTTGAAACCTCCTTCTGGTCATCAATTAAACAAATGTGACGAAAATTCTTTCCAAAATTCCCACAAGAATCTTTAAACTATGAATATTTGTCATTTTTTAAGTACATTTATAAATACTACCACAGTAGTTATGCAATTTTGTTTAATTTGATTGAAAAGTTCGGGTTATTGCGGAAAATTTCCGAAAACACATGATGATACTGAATCAGAGAAGCTTAAAAAAGGGATACAAAATTCCATCATGCAGGTGATAAAGAAAAGAGAGGAGACAGAAACAGGACAAGTAGACACTACAATGATTTTCTTGGTTTACTGATGAAGGCTTATCATGATACTGATAAAACAAAATCGATATCAGTCGATGACTTGATTGATGAATGCAAGACATTTTACTTTGCTGGACATGAAACAACCACAAGCTCACTCACCTGGACCCTTTTCTTCTGCAATTCACACAGAATGGCAAGACAAAGCAAGAATGGAGGTGCTTGAATTAATTGGCCAACAAAATCCTACTGCAGATAGCATCACAAAATTAAAAAGTGTGAGTAAACCATATATGCTTTTATTAATCTCATTGCATCAAATTGAATTACTTTGATTCACTTTCATATAGATCTAAATTCCTCTCTTATTTCCTTGTAGATCAACATGATCGTTAACGAAACGCTAAGGTTATATCCTACTGTTACTTACATGACAAGGAAAGTTAGTAGGGAAGCCAGGCTGGGAAGTCTTACTCTTCCCAAAGATATTGAGTTGTACATTTCAATTCTAGCACTTCACCATGACCCTTAAATATGGGGCGAAGATGTTCACCTTTCCAAACCAGAGAGATTTGCTGAAGGGGTGGCTAAAGCTACAAAAAATAACGCTACGACATATCTTCCATTTGGTTTGGGACCCCGAACCTGTGTAGGCGCAAATTTTGCACTCTCACAAATAAAGATCGTGCTTTCAATGATTCTGCAACGGTACAAATTCGTTCTCTCCCCAACATATGTCCACTCACCATTTGTGCTCATTACATTATATCCGCAACATGGTGTCAAAGTAATTCTCCAAGAGATATAAATCAGAGTCCTATCTTATGCCTCAAGATGGTGAAGAGTGGGGCAGCACTTATCTACACCTAGACATTCATATCTAGATTTGTGACCTAATTAATGTCCTAAACTTTCTATTCAATATTATAATGCTCAATATTCCCTGTGAAAATATCTTGTAGTAAAAATGGCAAGTAGTCTGGCAAAAATTAGTTTGGTGTCCTTATGCTTATGGTGCAATCAAGATCTTCTATATTGCTGAGGAGTAATTATTTTGTTCCATTTTTCAATTCTAACAGGTGTTTTTTGTTGTTCATGGGCTCACTCTTCACAACTAAACTTCTTTGGGAATAATAGAAAGAATCATCAACTAAATTCATGAGCAAATTGGCTTAAATAAAGCAAACAAGCATGTTTTCTGGTATAATACCCTTGTTACTTGATAAATAACCTGGATAGATTAAACCAGCAACATTTATGATACAATTTTGGACAATAAATCAACTGCTATCAGGTGCTAAACACAACTGACACTACAAGAAATCTGACATATAGTAACGCTCAAAAAAGCATCGGTAAAATCTCAAAATTCATCAGTATAGCACCACAAACCCTATATCGACGATTAAAATGTGTATTCTAACGAATTTTTAACCATTAGTATATCCTTTGTCGATATAAACCTATACTGACTGTTTTTAAGGTATCGAAATAACTTATAAAGATATACTTACGGTTTAAGACCATCAAAAAATGTATATATGTTGGTATAGAATATGTTGTGTATTTCACCGTTATATCTTTTACCAACGGTTAACACCTATCAGTATAAACTTGTATGTTTTAATTTTTCTTGCCTATACCGACGATTAATACTCGTCAATATAGACTCGTATGTTTTATTTTTTTCAACTTATATCGACAGTTAATGCATGTCAATATAGCCTTATGTATTTTAACTTTTACCAATGTTCTGTGATGACTGTCAATATAGCTTGAAATATTTCAATAGTAAAACGTGTCAGTATAAATTTTAAGGTGTCGATAAAATTTTTTTTTTGAATTATATTTTTAATTATTAATATTAATTTATTTATAATCATAATATGATATGGTTTCATATAAAGTAAAAATACATGAAAAAAATATTTAATAATATTTGAAATAAAACAACAACCAAATTGTTTTATAATCCACAAATTTAAAACAAGTCAAAAACTAACATCATTATACCAAATCCAAAAAAAAAAAATTAATATCTATAATTGAATGTCTACAAACATGATGCTTAAAGTTTGCATCAAAGAAATCTCTAAGTGCTATTACTAATGGCTGAACCTTAAATCCTCTATATATATTCTTAATAATGTTTTGAAGATTGTTCACATCAAATGCATATTAATCTGTTGCAACTCTTGTTGCAATGTAGGAGCCACACAATTCATTTCCTGATTAGCCAGATTATTATTTAAGAAATTCTTGCAAAAGCGCAACATGCATTAAAATTTCAAAAAGAAAGATTTTTTTTCTATGATGTTTTATCCAAAAGGCCTAAGAATAAGCTACTTACTAGATTAAGAAGAGAAGCTCCTCCTAGCTACATGTTCCATAATCACATTTATTAAGAGGCCACCAATCCATAGTAGAATAGATGGAGTTTTCATCTATTTTTCCTATTGAAACGGTTCCATTAATAAAAATAGTGCTGCTAATAACATTTTCAGGCCCTCTTTTACTTTTTAAAGTGACAAAGACTGAGCCTAGATTCATCCAATACAGTCAAAAATATTAAAAAAAAAATAGACATGCTTGATGACACAAAAGTGAAATGCAAAAAATGAAAAATACCTTTGAGAAATGACGAGAGTCTTGATGCTTTAACTTTGATTCAGCTCTAAAACAAAATGGATACCAATGGGTTTAAGTTTGTAGAGTTGTGAGAGGTGGAGAGAGTTGGTGAGAGGTGGAGATTAGGCTATGGGTACTGACATGTGGAGAGAGTTGGTGGGAGGTGAAAATTAAATATATAGATTCGGTGGGAGGTGGAGGTAAAGAAAATTATTTAAATTCATAAGCTTGCCATTTTTTTTGGATTATTCAAGGTATTTTTATACTAAAAATACCTTGAATAATTTTTACAAAAAATTCAATGTGGTTATTCAAGGCATTTCTGGCCAAAAATATCTTGAATAATTTTGTAAATAAATTTTTATGAAGGGTTATTGAAAGTTTTTTTCAAGAGGTTATTGAAGGTGTTTTTAACCAAAAACACCTTCAATAACCCCCTCAATAAATTTTTATAAGAGATTATTGAAAGCTTTCAATAATTTCCTTAATAAAATATTTATGAATGATTATTAAAAATGTTTTTGATCAAAAACACCTTCAATAATTCTTTTCAAAATTTTTTAGAGGATTATTGAAGGCATTTTTGGCTAAAAACGCCTTCAATAATCCCCTCAATAAATTTTTATAAGGGATTATTGAAGGCCTTTTTTGTCAAAAATGCCTTCAATAATCATTTTCAAAATTTTTTCAGGGGATTATAAAACCGCCTTCAATAATCCTTCATAAATTTTTATAAGGGATTAGAAAGGATTATTGAAGGTATTTTTTGTCAAAAACGCCTTCAATAATCCCCTTCAAACTTTTTGTATGAATTATTGAAGTTTTTGTTGTTGTGAAGATTATTTAAGTCGTTTTTTGTCAAAAATACCTTCAATAATCCCTTCAATAAAATTTTTTGTATAGATTATTGAAGGCATTTTTGGATCAAAACACCTTCAATATTCTCTCTCCAAAATTTTTTAAATGGATTATTGAATGCGTTTTTTGTCAAAAACACATTTAATAATCTCATTCAATTGTAAGCCAATAGTTTTTTTTTTGTTTTGAGCCTATACTGATCAGTATGTAACATATTTATACCATCAAAAAAAACTTTTTTTTACCGATGGTTAAATAAAGTGTTGATATAAGTATGGTATATTCTAATGGTATTAAAAATTCGTTAATAAAAATCTCTTTTATTAACGAAATTTAACCGTCACTAAATAATCCATACAAAAAAAATTATAGATTATTGAAGTCATTTTTTGTCGAAAACACCTTCAATAATCATTTTTCAAAATTTTTTGAATGGATTATTAAATCATTTTTAACAAAAAAATGCATTCAATAATCCAATTCAATTTTTTGTAAGCCAATTAATTTTTTTTTTTGTTTTGAGGTTATATTGACGGTTACGTTAATAACCGTCATAATCATCAGTATATAGTATATTTATACTGACGAGTAGTCACATATTGTCAGAAAAAATTTATTTATATCAACGGTTAAATAAAATATTAGTATAAGTATGATATATTTTGATAATATTAAAAATTTGTTAATAAAATTTTTTTTTATTAACGAAATTTGATCATCAGTATAACTAAACGTTAATAAATGAAAAATATTTTGTAGTGTGAATAAGAACCTTGTATATGAATTTGCTTTTCATTTTATTTTTGGAACTAGAAAACAACGGCTGCTACAAGGATTTCTCACCTAAGTATGGCCAAAACTAATCAGAAACCAAACCATGGCAACCGGAAAAGACGATTCTGCTATTGTCAGGTCAGGTAAACAATTAGCTGTCTGATGTGTCACATGATGTAAGTTCATCGTGTCATCGTCAACAAGTAAAACTACAGAAGGTTATTTAAATTGAGTTTAACAAGAAAAAATAGTATTTAATAGAGATATATATTAAGTTATGTATCAGCATTCTGATTAAATTAATGTTCTTCACTAGTTGTGGACGGTGCATTGTCAAATAGTTAATATTTTAGATGCCACATGTCAATAGATAGTACAAGTTGCCGACTTTTATACCTCCATCGACCAGGCGATTATATATGAGAGCTAGAATCTTGATTCTATCATCAGCTACAGCCAGACGAATAGTTCAAAGCCCTTTATATGTACCAAAGAGACTAACCATTGAGGTCATTCAAGTCTAAGTGAAAAGATACATTTGTAGCAGCAATGGGAAACTGGATAATCTATCTCTCAAGTTGTGTTTCTTTGTGCTTTCTATTGATTCTCATCAAGTTCTTAAACAAACTATGGTGGACTCCAATTCAGATACAGTCTTTGATGAGGTCACAAGGGATAAAAGGCCCTCCTTACAGATTCTTACATGGAAGCACCAAAGAGATCATCAACATGGTAAAAGGGGTAATGATCAGTCCCATGGAGTTATCGCATCATGTATTTCCTAGGATTCAGCCTCACATTTATTCATGGATGAGGCTATACGGTAACAATGATCGGCTAGTTAATCCTTGAACTTTAATTTTTTTTTATCTGTATAATTATTATCACTGAAAATTAACATATTGATGAAGGAAAGAACTTCTTATACTGGAATGGACCTCAAGCTCACTTGGTAGTTACTGAACCTGAGCTAGTTAAAGAAATCCTAAACAACAAAGATGGTGCCTATCCAAAGCCAGAGACTGAAGGCTACTGGAAGAAGCTCTTAGGAAATGGCCTGGTATCATCCAGTGGAGAGAAATGGGTTAAGCATCGAAAACTAGCCAACTATGCTTTCCATGCAGAGAGCTTGAAAGTAAATTCCAGCAGGCTACATTCTTTTCATTGAGAAACTAAACTCTTGTTCCAATCACTAAATTGCTTTCTGTTTTCATTTTCATTTTTTCAATATTACTTTAAGGGTATGATTCCAGCAATGATTTCAAGTGTGGGGATGATGCTAGAAAGATGGAGAAAACAAAAAGTCAAGGAAATCGAGTTATTCCATGAATTCAAGGTTTTAACATCAGAAATAATTTCGAGGACAGCTTTTGGAAGTAGTTGCTTGGAAGGTGAAAACATATTTGATATGCTGACAAAGATGGCTCTCATCGTTTCCAGAAATACTTATAAAATTAGAATTCCTGGCATCAGGTAAGCCTCCATATCTTGTTACATATCTTGTATGACTGAACTGTTTCTCAATCTGTAGAAGAGAACAGATAACAGGCAGTCAAATACCATAACTGAATGAGAATTTGAATTTCTGATTACTGCAGAAAGTTGGTGAAAATAGATGATGATATTGAATCAGACAAACTTGAACAAGGGATAAGAAACTCCATTACTCAGATGATAAGGAAAAGAGAGGTGACAGTAACAGGAGAATCAGACAGCTCTAATGACTTTCTTGGTTTACTTATGAAGGCTTATCATGATACTGATAAAACAAAATCCATATCAGTGGATGATTTGATTGATGAATGCAAGACATTTTACTTTGCTGGACATGAAACGACGACGAGCTCACTCACCTGGACCCTTTTTCTTCTGGCAATGCACACAGAATGGCAGGACAAAGCAAGAATGGAGGTGCTTGACTTGATTGGCCAACAAAATCCGACACTAGATAGCATCTCGAAGCTGAAGACTGTGAGCAAACTATCTGCTTCTCTTAATCTCATTGCATTTTGTTCCATTGCATTCACTTTCATATATATAAAAACCCCTCTCTTATTTCCTTGTAGATCAACATGATTGTTCATGAATCTTTAAGGTTATACCCTCCTGTTTGTCACGTTCCAAGGACCGTTAATAGGGAGGTCAGGCTAGGAAATGTTACTCTACCAGAAGATGTTAAATTGATCATTTCAAATCTAGCACTTCACCATGACCCTGAGATATGGGGTGAAGATGCTCACCTCTTCAAACCAGAGAGATTTGCAGTAGGGGTTTCTAAAGCTACCAAAACTAACGCTGCTACATGTTATCTTCCATTTGGTTTGGGACCCCGAAATTGTGTAGGCTCAAATTTTGCCAACACAGAAATAAAGATTGTGCTCTCAATGATTCTGCAACGCTACAAATTCATTCTCTCCCCAACATACATCCACTCGCCAACTGTACGCATCACATTGTATCCGCAACATGGTGTGAAAATAATGATGAAAGAAATATAAACCAGAATCTGTACTCTACTCATCACCACCTACTTGGATTTTCTTTTTACCATTTTCCTTTTTACTTCTTATGAGTTGTATTAGGGTAATAACTTTGCCCCAGGGCCCAAGTGAACATAAATCTTGGCTCAAGCTTTACTCGTGGTTAATTGGTGTTATTCTAAGCCATCAGGGGAATAATCAACATGAATCAGATGCTTCTTCAAGTCTGACGCTTCTTCAAATGTTCAATAGATCACTTAAAACTCTAAAATTAGCAAAGAACATTTCTCATTTTTACAAAATAGGAAGCAAGAAACAGAAGAATAAGAATTATCAACAAATACAAATCTATTATATATACACGATATCCAATGTGAAACACAGGAAAATAAGACTCATTTTTCTGTATTTCCTTCTTGATGAAGATAAGATGATTCAAGAGAAGAAGGCAAAACAAGAGGAGATAGTAGAGGAATCGGATCTTTACTTTGATAGATTAATGAATTAAATGAAGATGAAGACGCTGCTGCAGCTGCTGCTGCTGCTGCTGGTGATGATGATGATGATGATGATTGTAATGAATTTAAACTGCACTCCATTTCTTGTAATGCAGCCCTGCGTTCAAGAGAATCATTAGGCCTCACCTGCAGAGGACGAGGTGCTCGCCTTTGCAGCCTGCTAAGTGACCTTCTAAACACCAGTTCATCTTTGTGAAAACAAACTTGGAAGCCTGCGAACTCAGCACCAGAGTCCTCCATTGACTCTTCTTCTGTTGAAATAGAGATCTTAATTCTTAAGCATTTAAGGCAGACATAAAAAAATGTCTATATTCTATAGATAAGAGAGATATTATACAGAACAATTCTAAGTATATTCTATGGATAAGAGAGACATTATATAGAACAATTCTAAGTTTCTAGCAGATGCTTTGCTTTCCTCAGAATATAGTATGCATCCTTGCCTGGTGATTCGCAAGCATGAAATGGCACGCCATGGGAGAGTTGCAACTTGCAATATCTCTCGAATTAACTATATAATTTAAACCTCCATGAATAAATTATTTGATATTTCTTAGTTCCAGGTAAGTCAGTCATACATGTGGAGAGATGGGGCTACCCTGTTGCTATACTTTCTTAAGAACTTGGATTTGCATATCTGCCATGTGAGTGAGGAATCAAAGCACACATTTAAAGAACCTAAAGTGTTCAGTGACAAGATCCTCAGAAGCACATGACATTTCCCGATAGTTTAATTCAATAGCAATTTCCCATTGCGTTTTTTTTTTTGCCTTTTCCTTTTTTAGTCCATTAGCTTCAAACCAAGGTTTCTTCTTTTCTTTTTGCTTTTCTGTTTTGGATTATCCAATGCTTTGCAATCACAGAATTTATTTGTAACGTCATAATCCCGTATCGAGATGCTTTGAAAATCTGTTATAATATATATGTAGAAGCATGATCCCAAATTTGTGAGAAGTTTGGTAAAACAAAACTATGAGACTTTCAGTTTAAAACAGACAATACCTCACAAGTTGGATACAGGTCTCTACAAATGGTATCAAAGCAATCAACAGTCGGACGGAAGCTAAGTGCTACACAATAGGAGCCACCTCTAGAATCTTAATGTTTGATGTGATCATATGATTTATGTGTGCTTTGTGTTGGGCTTACCCAACATTTGGTGTGACATTTGATATGATTCGATAAATCTGTATATTTTATGTTGGGCTTGACGAGAACATCAAGCTTTAATAGGGGGTGTTTGTAACGCCCAATCTCTGTGATCTGTGTGTGCTTTATGTGGCTTACCCAATATTTGATGTGATTCGGTGGATCTATGTATTTTGTGTTAGACTTGATAAGGATATCAAGCTTTAACAAGAGAGTTTATAATGCTTCAATCCCACATCAAGATACTTTAAAGATCTGTTATGATATATATATATATATAGAAGCTTAAACTAAAACTTGTGAAGCGTCTTTTGTGAGATAAAACCATAAAATCTTCAGGTCAAAATAAACAATATCTCATAAATTACGTGTGAGTCTCCACAAAAAAAAAAAAAATTTATTTTCGTGATTAAATGGACTAATAATTGCTTTTGGTGAATATTGTACATACGTAAACAAAAATTTTCATGCCAGAGTTCTTCCGAGGCCAGGCCCTCTTAAATTCAATGCCAACTTTTTTGGATTTTTGCGCTCTATCCAACCTACTAGGTATTATCCATTTTGACCTAAAAGTCTTATGATTTTATCCCACAAAAAGCTTCTCACAAATTTAGATTTAAACTTTTACATATATATTATAGTAAATCCTCAAAGCATCTTGATGTGAGATTGCTATGATATTTAAGTTGAGATTTAAATCTAAACTCGGATCTCCACAAATGATATCAGAGTTATCACTAGTCATATGAAAGTTAAGTGCTACACGATGAGATCCATCTTTAGAATCTCAACGTCTGGTGTGATCTTGTGATCTGTGTATACTTTGTGTTAGGCTTGTTCAACGTTTGGTGTGATTTGGTGGATTTGTGTGCTTTATGTTAGGCTTGACAAGGATGTCAAGCTTTAACAATGAGAGTTTGTAACGTCCCAATCCTACATCGATATGCTTTAAGAATCTACTATGATATATATAGAGGCTTAATCTAAAATCTGTGAGGCATCTTTTGTGATACAAAATCGTGAGACCTTTGAGTTAAAGTAGACAACACCTTATAGGTTAGGTGTGGGTATCCATAAATGGTATCAGAGCAATTACCAATTGGACGGGAGCTAAGTGCTACACTATGGAAGCCACCTCTAAAATCCTAACGTCTAGTGAGATTCTGTGATCTGTGTGTACTTTGTGTTGGGCTTGCTCAACTTTTAGTGTGATTTAGTGGATCTATGTGCTTTGATTTATGTGTGCTTTGTGTTAAGCTTAGCCAATGTTTGGTGTGACGTTTAATGTGATTTGATGAATATGTGTACTTTGTATTAGGCTTGACAGAGATGTCAAGTTTGAATTGAGGGAGCTTGTGATGCCTCAATTCTTATGATCTTTGTGTGCTTTGTGGTAGGCTTGACATGAATATCAAGTTTTAATGAGAGGAGTTTGTAACGCCTTAATCTCACATCGGGATGCTTTAAGGATCTACTATTATATATATGTAGAGGTTTAAACTCAAACTTGTGAAGTGTCTTTTGTGAGACAAAACTATGAGACCTTCAAGTTAAAGTGGATAATACCTCATAGGTTGGATACAGATCTCAACAAATAGACTAAATCTTAAACTTGTGAGGCATCTTTTGTAGAACAAAACTGTTAAATCTTCATATTAAAGCAAACAATACTTCGTAGGTTGGGTATAGGTCTTCACAAAATCATTAGAGTGGTGTAACAGAGACGTGATAGGCCCATAACCCATAGGTCCTAGGATCGAAACTCGACTCTGATACATCTATGGAGATTGGCACTCAACTTATGAGGTATTATTTGCTTTAACTGGAACGTCTCACAATTCTATCCCACAAAAAGTACCTTATAAGTTTGTGTTTACATATATATCATAATAGATCTTCAAAGCATCTCAAAGAATCTCATAAGTTTGTGTTTAAGTCTCTACATATATATCATAATAGATCTTCAAAGCATCTCAATGTGAGATTAGAGTGTTACAACTCCCTTCGTTAAAGTTTGACGTTCTCGTCAAGCCCAACACAAACACATATAGATTATAGGGATTAAGGTGTTATAAACTCTCCCGTTAAAACTTGATGTCTCTGTTAAGCTTAACACAAAACACACAGATTCACCAAATCATACCAAAAGTTGGACAAGTGAAGCACAAAGTACATACAAATCAAAGCACCCAAATCTACTAAATCACACCAAACATTAGGCAAGTCCAACACAAAGCATATACAGATCACAAGCTCATACCAAACATTAAAAGTTGAGCAAGCCCAACACAAAGTACACAAATCTATCAAATCACATCAAATATTAGGCAAGCCCAACACAAAGCACACGCAGATCATAAGATCACACCAGACTTAGGATTCTAGAGGTAGCTACATCATGTAGCACTTAATTTTCATCTGACCAGTGACCTTCTAATACCATATGTGGAGACCTGCACCCAACTTACGAGGTATTGTTCACTTTAACTTGAAAGTCTCATGATTTTATTTTACAAAAAGTGCCTCACAGATTTGGGATTAAGCCTCTACATATATATCATAGCAGATTCTCAAAGTATTCCGATATTGGATTGAGACATTATAAACTCTCCCTATTAAAGCTTGACGTCCTTGTCAAGCATAATACAAAGCACACATAGATCACAAGATCAAACATTGAGATTCTAAAAGTGGCTCTCACCGTGTAGCACTAGCTCCTGCAGGATTTTAACGATGGCTCCCACCATGTAACACTTAACTCCCGTCCGACTAGTGACCTCTCTTTTACCATTTATAAAGGTAACCTCTTTGATACCATTTATGGAGACTACACCACATTTTCGTTGTGCTAATCTGATGATTTTGTAAAAATCCACACCCAATTTATAAGGTATTATCTATTTTAACTTGAAAGTCTAACAGTTTTATCCTACAAAAAGCTTCTCACAAGTTTAGGATTAAGTCTCAACTTATATATCATAGCAAATCCTTATAATAATTTGATGTGGGATTGGAGTGTTATAAGCTTCTCTCGTTAAATCTTAATGTTCTCGTCAAACCTAACACAAAGCGCATGGATCTACCTAATCACATTAAACATTAGACAAGTCCAACACAAAACACACACAGATTATAGAATCACACAAGATGTTGAGATTTTAAAAGTGACTCTTACTATGTAGCACTTAGCTCTCGTAGAATTTTAGAGGTAGCTTTCACAACGTAGCATTTAACTTTCGTTTGATTGGTAATGGCTTTGATACTATTTGTGAAGATCACATCCAATCTGTGAGATATTATTTATTTTAACCAAAAAGTCTTATGATTTTATCCCACAAAAAGTACATCGCTAGTTTGAAAATCACTAGTTTGAAATTAAGTCTCAACTTATATATCATAATAAATCTTTAAAATATTTCAATGTAAGATTGAGATGTTACATTATTAATACATAGACATGATTTTACTGCAATTGCCATACCAAACTTTTTTTCTTCCATAAACTCTGTCCAACAAACGACATGTTAGGTTAATTTGATTGTTAAAAAGTCTGGGGCATGACATGTAGTGATGGTTCATCAGTTAAAAGCACTTATGTTATCTTTCCCCTTGTCCCTTTTCTCCCAAGATGCATGGATGCTTATAATTCCTCAGATATACTTAGGTAGCATGCTGTTTCAGTCAGGAAAGAACAGTGATTGATGTAGTTGCCCTTTCTCAAGTAAAAAATCCAGCAAAGAAATGAGATTCAGTTAACAAAAAACATATAGAACATGAACCCAAGCCTTAACCCCATTTGATTCTTGCAATTACCTTTAACAATTCACGTCTTATAAATTTAAAATTCAAATTTTAGTACTATACTTTTCATCATCATGTTATGTTCTCTTTTGTGTCAAAAAAAGATAAAAACATTTTTTTTTATTATTTTATGATGAAAGTGTGTAGATCCACATTAAATCTGAAAAATATTATTTATTTTGACAAAAAATTTTATCATTTTATCTCATAAAAAATACCTCATAAATTTAAATTTTTTCACTTTAAAATCAAGCTCAGTCCAATCACACTTTTTTTTTTTTTTTCATCAAATTGCATCTAACAGTGCAACCATGACGATTTTGAACAGCTAGAAGTCTAAAATGACGAAGTTAAAGAGAATTCAAAAGGCTATCCATGCCACCTTTAGCATATCTTTTGCAAGATGCAAACATTGCTGGAAAGACAACCACATATTGGTTTTGTTTACGCCAATTATCTGGCTACTTCGTGGGATTCGTTTTTATCATGCTGACCTCCTGCTTCAGGTGGCGCATCCAACTTCGCATACGATCCGATGAGCCACGTGGCAGCACCTGCAATCGTGTTGCACGCCAGGCAATAAATCATATAGTGTGGAGAAGAGTATCATTGAGTGTGGACAAATATAATTCGAAAAGAAGACAGCATTTTCCCTTCATTTTCTTCCTTTCCACACTATAGGTTGGGATATTGGTTTGTTTTATATTGAGCTTTTCATACTCACATTTTCCACAGCATTTGGTCGGAAGGAAATGATGAAAATCGCTTTCGATTGGACTAGAAGGGTTCGGATGGAAAAAAGACTTAATCAACGACTTGGCTATTCATAAAGGCTTCAAGACTCCAATAGGGACTACGATTTTTAGACAAATAAACCACCAACCAAGTGAAGATTGGTCAAATTCCATTTTGGCTGGCTGCTAAATAGTTTAGTGGATCATAGCTGAATATATCAAATTAACAACTAGAAATGAGAAAACGATTCAAGGATATTATCTAAATAGAAAGGCATAGCCTAAAAAAAGCGGGCGAGGTGGGGTTTCCACAAGCTAAACCCATCTCTAAAAATGCGTGTTGCCATCTCAGAGTGATCGGTGATGTTAAAGGTTGGCATCCAAATCTTGGTATAGAACTTGGAAATTCGAGAAATGATTGTTACCAACACCAAAGCCGCCATCCTTATTTGCGCGTGTAATGGCTGATTCGGTGGGATGATCAGTCAGTGTAGGTGGGATGATCAATTAAAATGCAATGGAAATTTCCAATGGCCTCATTTTTCTTCAAACAGTTCTAATTTAATTGGTTTGATAATCTTTATGGCAAGTAAGCTATAGATTTAATCTATGACATGGGTCCAAAATTATAGTCAACACATGTAACCTCAACTTGTCATTAATACAGAATAAAAATAAAGATAAACAAGATAACCCAATGAAGAGATTCCTTTTGTACAAAACTAAGAACTCGTTTCATTTTCTGCTTTTGTGGAACCGACTTTAGATTGGATACACGGTTAAAGAAAAGGGCTAAAGGGGGTGAGCTGGGAAATTTACAGGCCCTTCGGTTTCTATCTATGGGTTTCCTTTGCCAGAACTGATAAATGATTCCTCGATTTCAATCCTGCAACAGCTAAAAACAAGATCTATGGTAGGATCTAGGCTAAGTGGGTTTTGATTTACATGTGGAGGGAGCTAAATATATTCCTTAAGAATGATACCTAACCAAGCTGAAATTGACAAAAGATCTTGACTTGAAGAGACCACCAAAAAGGAATCTAGTTGGAGATTCCTGAGAAACTGATTTTAAGTCTTCAAGGCTGCCTTTAACTTTTAGTATAGTCTGCCCAATTGCTTGCCGGATAGAATCTATGGTCTTAGCATGAACAGGATACCCTGATGCATCACGAACATAGAATGTGTTAACAGCTTTGCCTGCTTTTGTTGTCACTTCTGCTCGTGTGACAGTGAGGCTATTCTCCCGGAAGATTCGAGTAAAATCAGATAGCAATCCAACTCTGTCTGTTGTGCAAAGTTCTAACTTTAAACCCTGGAAGAGACAAGTTAATTAGTAATACTAATGAAAGGAAACCCTTATAGCAACAATAGAACAGCAAAAGAGTAAATATCTGACAGAATAAACATCATCCATAAGGGAGACAACTAGATATTAGATACCATAATTTGACAAAAGAGTAAACATTGGAGCAGCAAGAGATCTATGACAACTTATAATGATTCCTTCAACATCATTTAGGTAAAATAATGTGATTGTCTAAAACAAAAAATCAAGAACACACTCCCAAATTCTGATATATGAAAGTGCACCCACCTCAGACACCCTTCTCTCAATTGCTGCTTCAAGACATTGAGTTACTCTTTGTCTCTCTGCCTCTGATTTCACAGGGGATCCATCTATATGTCGAATATAATATTCCTAAAACAAAAAAGGTAAGAAGCAAAGTAATTAGAACAAAATGAAATCAATATAAACAGAACCAACTTTCAATCCCGAACTCACAAGTAGAAGCTAGGCATTGAAAGAAGAATAGCATTACCTGATAAGACTCTGGCCCCTCAGTACCAATGTTAGCATGAAACACTACATAGTCCATATCTGTCAAGGTGCAAACCGTATCGAAGAGAAGTTTTGGTCTATCTTTGCACCTAATCGTAACCACAGAATAGTCCTTATCATACCAATTAACAACATTCACATTCGGCCTTTGCCTGTCATCCAAGACATCATCACCGGTTCGCTCATAATCCCTATCAGCAAACATCATCTGGTGAAGCCTTCTCTCAGTATGTGTGACTGAATGAGAGACTGCAGTTTTGGCTAAACTGGATTTGTTGCTTCCCTTAAGTACATTGCAAAGAAGTGTCTTTATCCTAGATAGCCTTTCGGGGTCACTTATTGCGGTTCCTGTTTCCTCATCAGTCACTTGCATCACAGCCGCAGCACGTGTATTATGTGTCCACAATTCAGCATTCACTATATTGCATTTAAGATGCCTAAGGACAGCACTCACTTCAGATAGCAATCCTGGTCTGTCACTTCCTATTAACTCAATTGCGGTATGGTCCATTGATTGCTTCACCCCAACGGATCTCATTAAAGATGTGAAGCAAGATTCTGGCCCTAGAGACTGAAGACAAAACCAACAATCAGATAGCCATCTACACAGAAGCAGGAAAAATAAAAAATAAAAATAAAAGAAATAGGAAAATCAATTGCAATTTTTACTGCTTACCTTCGTAATATAATCTAGAATCCCTTCATCTATGATTTTGTTTCCATCTTGATCAGTAACATTAAAAACTGGTTAAAAAACCCAAAAGCAAAATTTTGAGAATCAATTGACTACTTGGTTGACAATTTGATAGTTAACAAAAATACTGTTTTATTTTTAAAAACACAAAAGGAGATGAAAAATCTTACCATCCATGAACCAATTGCCATCAGAAGATATGTAGGCTTTAACGATGATAAGGTTAAGATCAGTAAGGATTTGTACAACCTCAAGAAGGATCCCATGTTTGTTTGCACTGTCAACCTGCATTACAAAATTGAATAAGTACCAAAAGCTACCATAAAAGGGGAGATGGTCAAAGAGTACCCAAAAAAAAAAAAAATCAAAAGGTCATACGCGAATCACTGTTGCATTCTTGCAGGATTCATTATCAATCACAACCCTGACAAGAAAGGTAAATAAATATTACTTCAGGTTTCCAATAACTGTAATGAAAGTACAATAAAGAAGATGATTTTTTGCTTACCTGGGTGGATTCATTCTTCTAATTAATTTCTCATATTCATCATCCATGTCATGTGAAAAGCTCATGTTCATCTCTAAAAAGAGAAAAAAGAAATCAGCCAATGACATAAACTAAGGATATTACTTCAAAATAAGAGCATCCAATCAGAAATAATTGAAAGGAACGTTTGCAAAACCTTAAAAGGACTTGATTTTTGGGGGGTAAGGCCTAGAAAAGCACCTCTTGAAAACACATGAAGAAAAAGAGGGCATATGAAAGAGAAAGAAAGGAGATTAGGAAGGTGGGGGTAAAACTTAAAAACTCTCACCAGGAGAGAAAAGAAAAGTAAGGCAATTAAGAAAAAGAAGAGACAGAATTTTGACTAAACCAAGCCAAAAAAAAGCCAATCAAGACTTGAAAAAGTCATAGCCGAAAGCCCCATCAACCCCCAAGAAAAAAAAAAAAAAACAGTTGGTTTCAAGCCATTGAAAAACTTGAAAAGAAGAAAACCCAGTACTAGAAAGTCAAGCACAAACGCCATAGCATAAGATTCCAGCCCTAAAAGCTTCGAAAATTTTCAAGAAGAAAAAACATAACTAACAAAACCCACTCTCAAAAACAGAGATAGAAGCACAAGGGCCTACCCATTAGAGCTTTTCTTGAGAAATTTGAGATCTGGGATAACCAAAGTTCCTCTTTTTTTGCAATAGTATGAATGATGATAAAAGGAAAACAAATGCACAACTCTATTTATATACTAAAAAAAGAATTTTCAGCCTCCCCTGAATCCCCCCCCTCCCATACTCTCATGAAGGTAAGAAAATAATTAAAAATATCACGAAAAATTATAACTATTTGACAAATAGTAACAACAATTCTTCATGAATCAGAATCAGACACACTCCGACACGATACTCCAAAAACCTGCAACTTCTCAAAGTACCACTCCTTCAATTCACACTCTCTCTGTCTTTTTTTCTTTTTTTTTTCCTTTTGTTTTTTTTTTCATTTTCCTCTGCATAAAAGAAAAGAGAAAGGCGTAATTTAGCAAAGAAACACAGCGGCGTAGTTTAAAGAAGAGAAGGTGGGCAGGCGGTGCTAAAGTGCGCTCATTACATGGTAGATTAACCTACGTGTTAATTGAGGCGGCGGTTTGAGACTGACTAGAGGCGGTTGATCTTCCGAGGTTTGTGGAGAGAACCGCGGTTGTTTTCAATTAGCTGTCTTGTTGCCATTGGTTGGCTTTAGATATTAAGTCGTCTTAAACTCCCGTGGAACCCTAGCCTTGGATTAAAAAAATTAGATTTTTTTTTAGCCCTAAATCAGCCCATCACGCACCACTTCTTTTTTGTAATTTGATAAACTAATAGTTTAAAGCCCAATTATTTTCATTATGTACGAACAAGTTAAAAAATAGTACATGACATGTTATATCTTAGTAGTTACATCAACAGCATTACAGTTGCCACATCATCATCGTTTATACGAGATTTCAAGATAGATAATCATATATTAAGTTAATCACATCATTATTTATGATATATAAAACAAATATAAATAAACATTTTCATAAAGCCTTTTAAATATATTAATCTTTTCAATACGATGCAAATGGACTCTTGAAGATATTAAGGGCAATTGACTAATTTCTCAAATAGAAATATCCAAATCATGAGCACTTGCTAGGAAAATCAGATGCTCAATGATAGTTGCTAGAGCTTACTCCCTTATTACTTCATTCCAAAATTTATTCTATATTTTCAATAAACATGCATTTTATATGATTAAATAATAATATTTTTATTTTAATATAATTTAAAAATATATTAAGTTTTTATAATATATACAACAAGTTTTACCTTCAGCATCTCCTGATCTTTTTCTTTGTAATAGATCTAACACACTCTTCAATTCAATGTCTAATAAACTCTTCCATCACCAAACCAGAAATTAAATCAATATGACACATCAATTAAAGTTATTTAAGTGATAAATTAATTCATTAAATGGCTCAAAACTTTGATTTACATTGATAAGATAATTTTAAATGGCATGTCATATTTTAATTTGATGATTCCAAAAGTTTGTAGTTGACAAGATAATAAATAAAGATAATGAAAAACATGTGGAGAAAATTATTTAGTACAAAGTACTAATCAAGAAAACACATTGGTGATAGAGGATTACTTTCATTTATTGTTATTTTATAGTTGAACTTAAAGTAAGGTCTTTGACAAAATCATATAATTAAAGAAAAGATTTTGTTATCGAGTTTAAGATTATCATATTAAGTTAATTATAATTTTTGTTCAAATGCATTGAAATTCACCATATTAACCATGAATTAGTGTATTTAATAAAATATGTTATTATAAATAAAATATTAACAAATCTTAAAGAGTGTTCTTATTTCGATACCTAGTTCAATTCCCTTTATTTTTTATTATTTTTTTAAAAATTTTTTGTGACATCTTAATCTTACATTAGTATATTTTGAGAATTTATTATAATATATAGATAGAAAATTAAATTCAAACTTATGAGATGCTTTTTATAGGGTAAAATCATAAGACATTTAGGTCAAAGTAGATAATACCTTACAAATTAAACGTAGATCTTCACAAAGGATATTAAAATAGTTACCAGTCGAATGAAAGTTAAATGTTTGCATTGTAAGGGCTGTTACCTCTAAAATTTTACAGGAGTTAAGTGCTATACAGTGGTAGCCACCTTTATAATCTAACCAACATTTGGTGTGATATTGGTTATATGATTCTGTGTGTACAATTATGTAATTTTGTCTATGCTTCATGTTGGTTTGATAAGGACGTCAATCTTTAATAAGAAAGTTTGTGACACTCTAATCTCATATTGAAATATTCTGAATATTTATTATGATATATAAATAGATGCTTAAACTCAAATTTGTGAAGTATCTTTTATGAGATAAAATTATAAAATTTTTAGAGTAAAACGAATAATATCTCATAGATTGAATACGAATCTCTATAATTTTAACCATCATTATTTATAATTTCGATACCTAAGAGACAATAGTTATGAAAATTCGGCTTTGAATTGTTGTAATCCTTATCGATTAATTATATTGTTATTAATTACATTGTCATATGTCATTTACGGTTAGGTAAAAAGAAAATGGTTCACCATTTTTTTTTCATTTGTACAAATAAGGAAGCTTACCTTTAAATTCCCAATAATTCTTTGAACTTTCTCATGTACTTGCCATAAAAACAAAAAAAAAAGAAGGAAATGACTGCATAGAAGCAAAGTGAATTGTAATGGGAAAGAAGATCAAACTAGTCGATCACTTCCTTAATTGTTGATTTATTCCAAATGCACTTCACTAAGTAAATTAATGGTGCAATAATTTTGAATAATTAGGAATATGTTTATTCATTTTTTGTCTTTTTTTAACTATAGACCCACATCGAGTAACTTATAATATAAATATTTGAAAAAAAAATTTATATATGTATAATATTATAGTGGAATCAAGTTGAATTTGAATATATCAATTTTTTTTCTTAATTGGATTAAGGATTTAATAATACTCAGTTTAAGTTTCAAGTTTTAAAATCATGTCAAGTCCGAGTTTTAAAATGTTGATTCTATAATATCATGACATTGTGAAAAGAAAAAAAAATCCATATTAACATTATTCAACACACAATTTCCTTATAATTAATCCTATATATCACTTTCAACTTGAAAAGTGACAAACGCAAAATCTATAGTAAGCAAAACAATATGAAACAACAAAGGCAAATTATAGGCAACATGTTTATTCCATTATCCCTAAATCTCAAACAAATTAAGAACATATATGGGTCATAAAAATTATAGCTTTTTTGTGGGTTATGAATGCCACCACAATGTTAGGCAAACCCATGTTGGCTTGCCTCTATTACTTCTCTAGCTCCAACATATAATCAATTACAAGTGCTCTAAAAACATTTTTTTAAATTAATATATTAAATAATTAAAATTCATAATATTAATGGTTAATTATCATATTAAATAAAGAATATTTCAATTAATTTTAAAAATTCCTCTTAAAACACTAGTTAACAAAATCATATATTTATGTAAGTAATGGTGTTGGTGCACCCTTACCCCACCCTCGCATGTCTTAAGCTGTGCATGCCGGGCTCTTGTCCCTTTCACTTGCCAGCCCTGTCAACTCCTCTTTTATTTTATTTTATTTTTAATTTTTGGATTGAATGAACCTGGATTCGTTCTTAATCAGCAACAGCAAAGCAAGACGCAAAGTCAGACACAAATTTTTTAGTGTTTTTGTTTTAATTTTTCATGTTTGTCCTGTTATGTGAAAGGCTCATGGTCGGAAAGGGTCAGGATTTGAGAATAAATAAATACCAGATGCTTGTTATCTTGTATTTATTGTTTGAGATTCCAACTACTGTCTTAGTCAGACACGTGTAATTCTTGAAGTTCTATCATTTTTCAAGAATTGTTGTTCTAATCCCAAATGAATTTAAGCAAAATATTTGTAGAATAGTAGAGAATATGAATAACCGGCAAACTCCTGTTTAACTTCCATAAAGTTGGGTGACAGTTCCTAGTAATTTGTTCAGCTCCCTGGTTGATTAGTTTATATTAATTCTAATTTTAATTATTGACCCCTCAAATCATTAAAAATCGAATATATTATAAACCATTACTTAGTTTTTGGTATTTAGGACCATTAGAAATTAAACTTTGATCACTGAAATTGTTGGTTATAAACAGTTAGTTGTGTCTTGATTTTTTGTAAATTTTGTTGTTTGAAAAGAGGATTCGAACTCTGCTTTTTGAGTAGAAAAGCATGCGCTAATCATCGAGCCAAACATTCGAATACAAATATTGCTCCCCTGATGTAAATTAAGCATTGTAATGTTGTTCGACCTAATTAAATCCAGCCATATATAGCAATTGATTTAAAAGAACAAACAGGTGATGGTGAGGGAACCGCATGGTGTTGGTACTGCGACATCTATTGTATGAGCAGCACTGGTTTCAAAGGCAGCTGAAATTCCATGTGACAGGAGCATGGCAAGGTGTAGAAATGGGGCCATGATCTGAGTGGGCTAAAATGAGTGAACATGTGTAATTGGATAGAGGCAGCTGCTGGGGAGAAACCAAACTCTTGGGATATGCGTTCATCATCATCACCAACTGATAATAATTACAGTATTCCCATAGTTTTTCCCATTTTCATGGGAATTTTCTGACCATGTAACCTTTGTCATAGACTTAAGGGGAGTCCTGAATCCTACATCGAACATAATAGGAGGGTCACTGAAGTATAAAAGGGTTCACATCATCTCCGTCTTTGTGAGATGCCTTTTGTAGGAAAATCGTGAGTCAGGAGAGCAGACGGACAATACCTCACAAGGGTATAACCGTGACGGTTAGGCTGATTCGGGACGTCGGAAGGGTGATGCCCGGGTCTCGGAGCCACGCGGGTTCGGAGCTTAAGTCTCGACCCGTGACATGGTATCAGAGCCAGCCCTAAACGTTCGATCTACGCCAAGCCCGAGGAGGTAGGCAGGATGGCCAGCGTCCGTGACGAGAGTCATAAGTTGGATGCAGAGAATGTCACGGACTAAGAGGAGTCCTGAATCCACATCGAACATAATAGGAGGTCACTGGGTATAAAAGGGTTCACACCATCTCCGCCTTATGAAGGCGCCTTTTGCTAGGATAAAACCGTGAGGTCAGGGGGCCAGAGCGGATAATACCTCACAAGGGTGTGAACCGTGACGGTTAGGCTGATTCGGGATGTCGGAAGGATGAATGCTCAGGTCTCGAAACCGCACAAATTTAAAGCTTAAGTCTCGACTCATGACACAAGTGTTGTCCTAATCAACCATGTTTGAGGAAATGTATATGCCGTGTATATTACCCCACTTGAAAGAAAGAAAGAAAGAAATTTAAGATGGCTGATCTTGGAAATGATATCCCTTTCACAACTGCCCAAGCATCTGGTTTACTTGGGACAACAGAAATTTGAGGGTTGTAGGCAGGTGTTCATTTGAGTTTCAAATTATGTTTTTTTTCAGAAAGTGATTTGAAATGAAGCTACCCAAATTTGTATTTGTTGGAATAAATCATTTGTCTTCATTTACCATAAAAAAATATGATAGAAATTGAGTTGAAAATATAATTGGTTAAGAAAAATATTAAAATTATATTATATAAATATGAAAAATAAAAAATTAGGAAGAACAAAATTTAGTGGTGGTTTTCCAATATTATGTCATTTCACAACACCATAAACAAGGACCCCTTTTCTAAAAATAGGGGT